CAAATTTTACCAGAAATCAATATCATACCTAAAAAAATCAGGTTTCCGAAAGTTTAAACAATTTCCATTACTTATTTATAAACAACGAATATTTTAAAAAATAATAATTTTGTACAAAATGTAATTTGAATGACACTGAATATTCATGATTTTTTTCACATTTTTATCACGCAATTCAATTGACAAATTTCTTGATTGAAAATGGTTGAATCTATAGTATGCTGTGTACTAAACTGGAAGATAACTGAATATCCTTAAGGGTATTATGGCGGGGTCCATAGTTGGAAAAAAAAGCAGAGAATTCAATGAAAATTGCTGAACCGATTATTCGATCCATTTAAAAGCCGTGTGCAAAATGTCAAAACCCCTACTTAAACAATAATTATGGGAATAATTTTTGAAGTTGCTACTTACACGCGCGGTTGAATGGGGCATCGGTAATTTTTGTGAATTTCCTACGTTATCAATAGATCAATAACGTAGGAAAAGCACTAAAATTACCGATGCCCCATTCAACCGCGTGTATAAGTAGCAACTTCAAAAATTATTCCTATTATTATTGTTTAAGTAGAGGTCTTGACATTTTGCACATGGCTTTCAAATGGATCAAATAATCTGTTCAGCAATTTTCATTGAATTCTCTGCTTTTTTTTCCAGCTATGGACCCCGCCATAATACCCTTAAATGCTAATAAAACAAGCAGGGGGCCGAGCCTATTCGACTGAAGAGATATGATTGTTTCTTTATGCGTTGTTAGTCTTCTTATCTTTGATCTCCACCAATTTCATTGGTAATAAGCTTCTGAATAGATCCGTTGCAATTCTATTTTTAAAAAATAATAAGAAGATAAAAATTCTGTTTTGTGGTGAAAACAAAATTTCAGTTTCTGTAAGACGCAAATTCTCCGATTTTCTCAATTTTCAAGTAAAACAAGTGGAAACTTCGTGCCAAACTTCAGATTAATATGTCAATTTTCTCCAAAGTTAGAGTGCAAGGACGAATTTTTAGCGAAAAATCGAAAAATTTGAATTTCTCGGGAACTTTGGATGAATCACTCGCATGAATTGTGCATATTTCAGTTGGTTGGAACAGGAAACATTGAGATGAATATATTGAAAAAAAAATTGAAATCGGTTGAGTAGTTTTTGAGATATTCAAGAAATAGTACATTTCAAGCCTAGCCGTGGAAAACAGATCATCCGCCCCCACGCGCGAGATTGACATCCGAGCCGAAGGCGAGGATGATTTCCACGGCGTGGCTTGAANGGTGCTCGACCAGTATGGCCGCCAAACTCCTCGCCAAAGCGTCTTTTTCCTCCGGGGTTTTCGCCCGGGTGGCCTCTGCGACCGGAGACGGAGCGGTCGTGGTAATCTCTACCATTTGCGACACCGCCTCCAGGGGCTCGAACTCAGGGGAGGGAATTTCAANTATTGAAAAAAAAATTGAAATCGGTTGAGTAGTTTTTGAGATATTCAAGAAATAGTACATTTCAAGCCTAGCCGTGGAAAACAGATCATCCGCCCCCACGCGCGAGATTGACATCCGAGCCGAAGGCGAGGATGATTTCCACGGCGTGGCTTGAACAAAATTTTTCGAGACGCAGGGCCTGAAAAACGCGAATTTCTGGTGCGCAGCGAGCAGAAAATGGAGTTTTTCAGGTGCCAGTCTGGAAAATATNTTCTGCACCAGTTCATCCAGGGTATTGTCCTGCATTGCTCACGGGTATTTCATCACGTGTGCCGCTACTCGCTTACAGTTGTCTCCGGGGAGCGTCGAAAATTCTCACGTCTTGTCGCGTACACGGTCAAGACGGGAAAGGACGCTTCCCGTGGTCATTTCTNTCTCCTAAACTATCCATCCGATTTAGCCCATCTTCAATACCAAACATTTTGGTGCCAGGAGGAAACTTTGTACCAAATTTCAAGTTAATCTGTCAATTTTTAGGAAAACTAGAGTGCTAACAAAAATTCTCAGCTCTTTCTATGAATGGGAATACATATTTTGATAGATTGCAATAGAAGACATCAAGACGAGTATTTTGGAAAAAAAAAATTGAAATCGGTGGGATAGTTTTTGGGGATATTTGCAAAATACGATTTAAAAACAAATGATGATTTCTAAAAAAAGGTTGAACCGATTCAGCTGAACTATAGCATAGACTTAGTCCTTATTAATACCTATAATCTCACAAAATTAAAATTTCNCTTTACCGGGCGTCGGTAAATGCTTCTTTCAGCATTTTTGGTACATTTATGAGAGGAAAATTCCATTTTGCAGAATTTTCTGTTTTTCACTCACTTCTTTCGATTTTCCGGTCGAGGAAGGGAAATGCCCCGCACCTGAGGCTAATCCTCCTCCGGGTGGCGAGGAGAACAGTACTCCNTAAAAAAATCAGGTTTCCGAAAGTTTAAACAATTTCCATTACTTATTTATAAACAACGAATATTTTAAAAAATAATAATTTTGTACAAAATGTAATTTGAATGACACTGAATATTCATGATTTTTTTCACATTTTTATCACGCAATTCAATTGACAAATTTCTTGATTGAAAATGGTTGAATCTATAGTATGCTGTGTACTAAACTGGAAGATAACTGAATATCCTTAAGGGTATTATGGCGGGGTCCATAGTTGGAAAAAAAAGCAGAGAATTCAATGAAAATTGCTGAACCGATTATTCGATCCATTTAAAAGCCGTGTGCAAAATGTCAAAACCCCTACTTAAACAATAATTATGGGAATAATTTTTGAAGTTGCTACTTACACGCGCGGTTGAATGGGGCATCGGTAATTTTTGTGAATTTCCTACGTTATCAATAGATCAATAACGTAGGAAAAGCACTAAAATTACCGATGCCCCATTCAACCGCGTGTATAAGTAGCAACTTCAAAAATTATTCCTATTATTATTGTTTAAGTAGAGGTCTTGACATTTTGCACATGGCTTTCAAATGGATCAAATAATCTGTTCAGCAATTTTCATTGAATTCTCTGCTTTTTTTTCCAGCTATGGACCCCGCCATAATACCCTTAAATGCTAATAAAACAAGCAGGGGGCCGAGCCTATTCGACTGAAGAGATATGATTGTTTCTTTATGCGTTGTTAGTCTTCTTATCTTTGATCTCCACCAATTTCATTGGTAATAAGCTTCTGAATAGATCCGTTGCAATTCTATTTTTAAAAAATAATAAGAAGATAAAAATTCTGTTTTGTGGTGAAAACAAAATTTCAGTTTCTGTAAGACGCAAATTCTCCGATTTTCTCAATTTTCAAGTAAAACAAGTGGAAACTTCGTGCCAAACTTCAGATTAATATGTCAATTTTCTCCAAAGTTAGAGTGCAAGGACGAATTTTTAGCGAAAAATCGAAAAATTTGAATTTCTCGGGAACTTTGGATGAATCACTCGCATGAATTGTGCATATTTCAGTTGGTTGGAACAGGAAACATTGAGATGAATATATTGAAAAAAAAATTGAAATCGGTTGAGTAGTTTTTGAGATATTCAAGAAATAGTACATTTCAAGCCTAGCCGTGGAAAACAGATCATCCGCCCCCACGCGCGAGATTGACATCCGAGCCGAAGGCGAGGATGATTTCCACGGCGTGGCTTGAACAAAATTTTTCGAGACGCAGGGCCTGAAAAACGCGAATTTCTGGTGCGCAGCGAGCAGAAAATGGAGTTTTTCAGGTGCCAGTCTGGAAAATATATTTGGATACAAAGTCGAATATCTCCTAAACTATCCATCCGATTTAGCCCATCTTCAATACCAAACATTTTGGTGCCAGGAGGAAACTTTGTACCAAATTTCAAGTTAATCTGTCAATTTTTAGGAAAACTAGAGTGCTAACAAAAATTCTCAGCTCTTTCTATGAATGGGAATACATATTTTGATAGATTGCAATAGAAGACATCAAGACGAGTATTTTGGAAAAAAAAAATTGAAATCGGTGGGATAGTTTTTGGGGATATTTGCAAAATACGATTTAAAAACAAATGATGATTTCTAAAAAAAGGTTGAACCGATTCAGCTGAACTATAGCATAGACTTAGTCCTTATTAATACCTATAATCTCACAAAATTAAAATTTCTTTGGAATTATTTTAGCCCTTTATTCGTTTAATTTTCTAAAAGTTGACCATCAAGTGGACCAAGTTGACCACGTGTACATACATACATGGTCCTCAAACTTCGTATTTTTACGTTTCAGACCATTCTACATCATTTCCAGGAAAAATTAGAGAATCGAAAAATCGAACGATTTCAATGCTTTCATTCGGAAGCAAAAAATACGCATATATTGAAATTTGATATAATTACTTCTGAAATTGAAACTTGAAATTATTTTGTCACAAAAAATTTGTGACAAAATAATTGGACTCTAGGAACCGACCGTAATGGTTGGGTGAGTTAGGTGTTGCTCTGGCGGACATTCGAGTGCCGCTGCGTTTAGCGCGGTTAGTACTTGGATGGGTAACCGCTTAGGAACACCCTCGACCAAAAATTTCGGAAGGTAGACATGGTGTAGTGGCCTAATGTGCCCTTCTGTTAGTGACTAGAGGGCACATTAGGCCGACTGCATGACTGGAATTTTCCATAGTTTCCCGTGTAGTCCTAGCCGGAATGGGGTACAGTTGATAAGCGTAAGACGGCCCACGGCAAACGCAGATCAAAATACGAAGGCAGGCAAAAAAGGGGAGCCTATAAAACCGCAACGGTAGTAGGAAAGGAAATGAATAAATAAATAATAAGTAACTGACCTCTACGATTTCCTGAGTCGTTAAATTTTAGAACCACCGGTCTCTAATAATTAGAAATATATCCCAAAAAATCAGAATTTTTTCATCTCTGTGTTCACTAATTGCATAGTCTTTGGAATTTTTATTGAAGAAATCTCGCAATTAAAAATGAAGTTTGAGGCATGATATTCTAATGAGCAGTAATTCATGAGGGACAAACTGATACCTCGATCGAGTTATTGCAGAAAAACTCACCTATGACCAATATTCCCCGCGTTTCCATGCAAGAACAGTATTGTAGGCGAGCGTTTAGCTTTTTCTCCTGGCTGAACTATGAAGAACATATGTAGCAGAGTACCATCCCGTGTACGTGTGTAAACACTTTGATAAGGTAACTTGAACATTGAAGGCGCCGGTACATAGACCCGAGAGTGTGCCGGCAGATCCGGGCGGTAGAGGAGTTGGTCCTGCGTTTGATATAAAACGCCTGAAAAATATTTTGAAGGTGATTATGCTCTGTTTTTTACATAAATTCATGGTATGTGATATACGGTACTTAAAATTAAATTTCGTATCTCTCCGAAGGGGGTGGGAAATATCCACTATCTATTTTTAGGTTTCCATTTTTCGCGTGAAAAGGAGTGAGCAAATTTTCAAGTATTTCTACGTGTATGTGAATCATTATGAAATCAATTGCTTTTTTTTTCTCACAGAAATCGTTACACACATGATAGAAGACGCACGTAAAAAATGAATGTGTAGATTACTTTACAATGATCGTGGTAAAATTATGGCCAAGAGAAACCCACCAAATGATTTATACGGAACCGTGTGTGGGCTACAAAAAATTTTTTAAACATGATCAAAAAAGTAATTTTTTGTGCCAAACATGCAAAGCGTGCGTCGTATTGAAAATTTTTATTACAAAAATAAATTTAGTTTTTTCCCAAAAAAATTATTAAATGAAATAATAATAATGATACGACAGCAGTATTGTGTCTTTGGGACTAAATATTAATTGATAAACTTGGCTCTATAAAAGATCTTTCTATTCTGACAAGGCACCGTCTTGTATGCATGATCCGCCTCTTGAGCCAAATATTTCGTTGTTGTTGAAAGCAAAGTAATTATTCATGTGTGAAACTTTCAAATTTAAGCCGGGGTGTACTATCTTTCAAACGTTATCTCGATATTTTCTTTCATCTTTCGTCATCTGAAATTGTCAATTGAGTCCTGCATCATGCAGAAGTTTTGAAAATTATGAATGAATAATCAAAAAAAAGTAGAAGAAATTCTTAGTTTTTTCAAAGAGCATTTTTAATTTATATTCAGAATAAGTTAAATAACAAGAAATTGAAAAATGTATCTGATTTACGATGACACATGGCGGCCTGTCACCCAGTATCATGCAGGGGGAAGACTGATTTCGTAAATCTTTTCCCATACTGCACAGACACATTTATTGCGGAAAAGGCTCTTTGAAAAAAGTTGTAATATTTTGGAGAATTTTTTAATCACACTTTCATCACATAAAAATGGCAGATGACTACATACCACTGTTTTAAAAATTGAGATACCTAGCTGTCACTTCCCATGACGAGTTAGTGTTTTGTTGTCCTCCATGGAAATGACAGCTAATAGATCATTTGACACAGCGAGTTAGATATTTGTAATTTCCACTTTTTTCAACTCATTCTGAACCTCTTCTAAAAACGCTCTTTGAAAAAGTTCAGAATTTTTTCTATTTTTTTGTTATCATTCTATCATAATTTTTGGGAATTTCCACATGATGTACCACTCAATTGACAATTTTGGATTACGAAAGATAAAAAAAATCCAGATAACATTCGAAAGATAGTACACCCGGGCCTTAAACCAAAAAATGATTTATTTGGTATTTTTTGACTAACGATTTTGTTAGCCCAAACAGGACTTGTTTGAGAACTCGTTCGTTTTTCTCTCAGATTTTCATATCAATTGCTGACGTTTTTACACTCATGTTACTTCATTTCATTGAGAATTAAAAAAAAATAAGTCAAGAGGAGACTACTATGAGTTTTAAAAGTCGCGGGCTATTGGAATGAGATTTTTCACACATTGAAGATCGATTATATGTATCTAAAAATGAATAATTAGCGCAAAAAATTGATTGTTTATTGTTCGTTTCTCCCGCCGACGCTTAAAATGTTAAAAATAGTCCAGGGCCCCCAATTTTCAAGCTACAGAAGTTTTTTTTGTTAATTTTTGAAAAAAATGTGTACACTAACGTTTACGAATTATTTTTTTGAAATTCGACTTCTACACAACTAATTTCATTTTGTTTAACATAAAAATTTGTGTCATTAGTAAATATAAAAATTTGCCTCATTTGTAAAGTATGTAAAATACGCAACAAATTACTCAGAAACATTTTTGGGCTATTTTACATGAATGGTGCAATTTTCATTTAAAAAAAAGGAAATTAGCCGTGTAGGAATCGAATTTATGAAACTAATTCGTAATTATTATTGTTCACATTTTCTCAAAGATTTTGCAAAAAAAACCGTTCTAGCACCAAAATTGAAGGCTCTGGACTATTTTTAACATTCTAAGCGTGCGCGGAGCAAACGACCAGTAAAGAATTTTTTTTTGCACTAATTATTCATTTGTAAATATATATAATCGATCTTCAATGCGTGAGAAATCTCACTCCAATCGCCCGCGACTTTTAAAACTGATATTCGGTCTGCCCTTAAACAACAAAGAAACTGCAGAATCATCAATCTCCTGATCAAATGATACATTTCGAATGAATCAAGTCTCGTTTCAAAGCTTGAGGAAAAACCTCGCAATTGGAAAAAAACTTGGATTACACTTGGCTGATCTCTAATTATTGATGATTGAAAGTGGTTCATTTCATCCTACTCTCTTCTAGCAATGGGATGGGGTGATCAGGGATAGCCATCATCTTCCGAGTCTTCAATATTAAAAGAATTTCCGATTTACATTAATCCAGGTTTAAATATACTAACCGAAATTTAAAAGTAATAAAATAATTGATAATCCAAATGTCCAATTGACGATGAATTAAATATTTAAAAATATGGAACTTTAAATTTTCTATTAAGTGGATAATACTAAATTGCTCATAAGGGATTTCCGATTATCCAAATAATCGTCAATCGTCTTAACTCAATTAGGGGAGGGTGGGGTAAAACGGACACTTTAGACTTTTTTAAAATTATTCATAACTCAGAAACAAATTGATCAATTGTGCTCAGTTTAGGGTCGTCAGAAAGGGAAAGAATTGTTCTTTGTATTAAAAAAAAAAAAATTATTAAATTTTATCAACATTTCAACCCCTCATTGACATTTAAAAAAAAAGTCAAAAGTGTCCGTTTTACCCCAACCTCCCCTACTGATTAATAAATAGTTCAAAATTTGACAGTTTAAATTGACGATTACTTCAATAATTAAAATTAAAAAATGATATTAAGAGACTACTTAATAACTTAACAGTACTTATAATTTATGGATATGGCTAGATAAGTCACCCCCGTATATTCGTAGGAGCACGCAGTAGGTATCCCCTCAAGAGGATTGAATCCATCATACCTCTTAAAATTCATCACGATGATTAATGGATCATTCATAGCATACCTGTCGTTGCAAAACACAGAAGAAAGAATGCTAATATTCCACCATACAGCCAATAGAGCACAATGCAGAAGAGTATATAAGCTCCTGAATACGCCCAGCACTTCATGGCAATTCCGCCTATGAATCTGACTGGAGCACTGCGAGATAATCTCCCACGGAGTGACATTTTCATGGCTCAATTTATTCTCCTTTATATCTTAATATGTGATCATATAATAATAATTCATTTTTATTTATCACGCGATTGACATTCTAACCTCCCCAGAGCAACGACCAATTCCTTAACTGTTTTTCCTCCAAAACAATTCATTATTTATGATCAATAATTAGTTTGTTCCAACAATCAGTGAAACAAGACAATTCAACTCTTATTGACGTCAATTTCTCACTCATATTTCTCGTATCAATTGTTGTTTTCGTCTCTCATCTTGTTTCTTGGGGAAATCTTTCAACTGACATTCGGGCATGAATAACGTAGGATATAGAGACTTTCAAAAACAAAATTTCCTGCTTCAAAATCTGTTTTACCACTTGAGCTAGATTAACATTACAATTTACAAATGCAAAATTATTCCGATAATGAATGGTGTTGCGAAAAATGTCAAAAAATATTTTTTGGTGGACATTTTTTCAGCTAGAAAAAAGGGCTTTTCAAGTTTTCTCCTAAAATCACTCGTTTCTGAGATAAACGGAAAATTGGACAAGGTATCTGATTCGATTCATCGCCGTTTTATTCTTCGACGATAGATTTGGTTTTGGACGTCTTGCAATTCTTCATCAATTTTGTGTTTTCGATATTAACAAAAACATATTCAACCACTTGCTACAACGGAATTAGTGTAATTAGTTGTTTGACTCGTCGTGTTTGATGAACTTGAGAGAGAATTAATATATTTTTATTCCAAGTGAGGGAGGAGGTAGATAGGACAATGGCTCAGACAATTGTGGAACCTGATGCTGCTGGTGTCGTTAGAAAATTAGCCGAGATTATTGAAGAAAGTGCTAATGATGCAATCGGAGCCAATGACATCTTCAAAATTGGTGTATCAGGTGATTATTCAGAACTGTTGAATTATCGAAAAATATAAGTGATTTCGAGAAATTGTCTTAAAGTTCAACTTCTATGAATTGTAATGAGGGAGGATATTTCATCATGCTGCAGTTATCGCTCATGTTAGAGTTAATTATCGTCTGGAAATATGTTAGAAATTCCTTGAAGAAACAATTATAATAAATATTAACAATCATTAAAGTCAGTAGTCAAGTGATAAAAGGTGATACGTAAGTTTATTTCATGCAGACTTTAGTTTTTGTTGAATATTTACGAATTTAAGAGTGGTGGAAAAACCTTTGGGGATAGATATATTGTACCTCTTATTTCAATTTATGAAAAAAAAGTTGCAGTATTTTCTATACGATTCGCAGATTCCAGGATATCGATTGAAAACTAGGAAATTATTTCAGTTCTCGGTTATTGATTTATTGATCTTTCGTTTTTCTCCATAGAAAAGCGAGCTGAATTATGCCACTCATTGAGGACTTATTGGACTCTCAATTTCTACGCAATTTCAGTACTAACATTATCCATTTTGTTATTGACTGAATATTAATTTTAAAGATGATGACAAAACTGAGAATCTTTTTGACATGAATTCTCCTATTAATAAATGAAATCATTGTTTACGTCTCCATCGAAATTCTCAAGTTTGTGTTTGTTTGATAGGTGGATCCCTCGTAAAATTTTTATCAGACGGATTGCCAGCAATAACAACTGATTGGAGCAAATGGCGCTTTTTTTTCTGTGATGAAAGAGTTGTGCCATTTGACCATGAGGACTCAACGTTTGGAGTCTACAAGGCCAGTCTCATTGGAAAAATTCCCATAACTGAGGATCAGTTCATAACAATTGACTCGGACTTTTCTGGTAAGGTCTCGAGTTTGGGGTTTCAACATCAAAATAACTTTGAATTTTTCGGCATTCAAATGTACTCATCAATTGATACTCGTCAATTTATATTGGTATTGGTATTTGTGAATGTCTTCGTAATAATTCATAGAAATTCGCCACAGAAATTTTCTGAAAAAAAATGTAATGCGTACCAAATAATACATTTCCGCAGTTTAACTGCAGACATTCTACAGGTCTTTGTAAAAATTGAAAGGCTTCATAGAAATTTATCCAGATTTACTTTTGTTGAAAATTTTATGGTCAATCAAAAAAGTTTATAGATCAATTTCCCGTTAGTTTCACACATTATTGACATCTTTGTTATGAATTTTTAAACGGTATTCGCATAAACGGCAATTCATTGTTACAGCTGTTGAGGCTGCCAACGATTACATAAAGAAGATGGCAGTTTACTTTCCTCCAGACAGCTTACCAAGATTCGACTTGCTGTTACTGGGTATGGGTCCGGATGGTCACACGTGCTCACTCTTTCCTGGCCATCGACTGCTTGAAGAAACTAGTCGGTGGGTCTGCCCAATCAATGATTCCCCAAAACCACCTCCCTCAAGGATTACCCTGACCTTTTCAGTCATCAACAATGCTAAAGCATGTATATTTGCTATTACTGGAGCTAGCAAAGCAGATATGGTTAAGGTGATTTTATCTGAATCATTTACATTTATTTTCCAAATTCATGATTTGACATTGGGGCTTTTTACACTGGGATTTCATGTGCCGCAGTGATGGCTAAATTTATGTCTACTCCAGCCCACGACTCCATGGAAACGGAAAGTTGATCCAAATTTTCACCCAGAGTTAGGCAAGAGTATACATAAGCTCGGCCGTACTTTGAGCGATTTGTACTTGAGGTGTCGGTGTCAATAGCCCCAATCACGTTATTACCAGAGCTTGCGAATTACATCCAGAACCTTTTATTATTTTACTTCTGCACGCATGAAAAAATTCAATAGAAATCGTAGCGAATTCGCTAAAAAATTCTACTGGAATTCTATAAGAATTCAATGGGGATTCTATAGGATTTCTATTGCAATTCCATTGAAAAATTCTATTTGTTTTTTGCGCTGACTCTATTAGATATTCGATAAGAAAAAGCCAATAGATTTCGAATTTCTGGTAGAATTTTTCTCTTCAGATTTTTCTAGTAGAAATATTGGGCACAAATTTTCTACATGTTTTCCGCTGGATTTTATTTTGTTTTGCATTACAGAATCCGAGTGGAAAAAACTTAGGAAATTGATGCCCAAGCATTCTTGTAGAAAAAATCTTAAGAGAAAATTTCAAACAGAAATTCGAAATCTATTGACTTTTTCAATAGAATTTCCATAGAAATCCTATAGAATTCCAATAGAATTTTCTAGCGAATTCGCTAGGTTTTCTATTAAATTTTGTCAGGCGTGTGAATGGATTCTAGTTCTCTCAATAATTACATAATATTCGTTATGCTCATTCATATTCGTAAAATACTCATTTTTTCCTCATTGATTCTGTCAATGACTGTAAAATAACAGTGGTCAAGCAGAACGATAAAATAATTCGGCTAATGAGTGATATTGTCTTCGGAAATCATTCGAGTTCGAAATAAATGCATAATCAAAAAATATTATCTGTTTTGCACAGAAAAATTTATGATTTTTTTACTCTAGCGTATACTGAAGGATAAAGAGAATCTCCCTGCTGGTCGGGTTCAACCAACGAATGGAAAACTGTATTGGATCCTAGATCAGGAAGCGGCCCGTGACCTAACTGAGACTGGATAAGTGGCTATTTTTCCTTGTTTTTACACTCTATTCTTGTTTTTCGTGCAACGACATTCCTAATACAGTTTATAACTTCATAATTTTTGTTATTCTCTCTATTAAATCGTGCATTTGAGACGTATCACTCAGGTAAACAATTAAAAATGGTGAAATCTCCTTTTTTTCTATAAAAAATACGTCAGAATGCATGTACATACGAATACTTGTGATAAATACAATTTAAATAGTCAAAATTCTGTACGATATTAAATATATGTTGAGTAATATTACATGTCCGTTTTATACACACTAATTACTGAAGTTTTGGCTCAATTCTTCCATCTATGTTTTTTTTTTTCCACTTTATGGGGGAGGGAGTATGTGCATTGAAAAATGGCATAATTTATCAATTCCTCTCATTCCGTACATCATGGAATGATCTAGAAAATTAACATTTTCGAAACAAAATGCTATAAGACCTTTTTTGAATTCTCGAGCCGAAGGGAAGAAGTTATTGTAATGACCCCGAAAATCGATTGTGGAAATGTTATGATTCCTCCACGTTTCATGACCCCTAGAAACTCTCTCGATACTTTTTAGAGACCGGTCTGTATGTGGACGGGTGTGTGGGTATGTGACCAAAATTTTGTGCTACGATTTCTCGCGAAAAAACGATGCGACTCAATTTTTTTCACGCTATTGATGTGTTTTCATGTAATTTAGTACTGATTATATTCTGAACAACATGGCCTCGCGGTTCTTTAGATTTTGCCATAAAACACAAGTCCCAGAAAATCAAAACTTTTTGTAATGACCCCGAAAATGTAATGTGAATTTTGAAGATTTGTCACGTTTCACGGCCTCTGAAGTTATCCAAAAACGTATCTGAAAATATGTATGTGTGTGCATACATATGTATGTAAGCGAAATTTTATCCAATTTCGCCTAAACAAATCAACCAATTCAACTTGTTTTTCAAACTATACGTCTGCGTGTAACTTTGAAATGATTACATTATGGAAACGATCATCTCCGCGTTTTGTTATAACGCTTTTCTTGACATGTTTTTTTTCTAACTCATCCGAGTGTTTTTTTAAGCGACTTTAATTCTTTTCAATTTCAACGTGTTTGTTGGGAATGGAAATTTCGATAAAACAATTGAATCCTATCAGGCTACGGGGGAGTGAGGGGTTGGAGGTTATTTCAGTCCCCAAGAAACACGTCAAAATCAGAAACGAAAGAATTCGGTTCGAAGAAACACACCCAGACAAGTTGGAAAAAAATCGCGCCAAGAAAAGCGCCATTCAATATTAGTTCTTCACTTAAAACTTCTTTACTTAAAACTGGTAAAAAACGCCAAAAAGCGAGAGTTTCATTGAAATTCGATGATTTTACTTGGCAAAACGATGGGATTCGAATTATTGCGTAATCGACGCGGCTTCACATAACTTGATTTCAATTGCATAGTAAGCAGAATCGTATTAGGTTTTAGGGTTTTTCGATGATGATTTTTAGAAATTTGAAACTTTTCGAGAATTTTTCCATATTGCTCGCATTCTTATTACTATTAAATTGTTTTTTCATTTGTGCAAAAAATGAATTGCCATATAACTCGAGGCTGATCGAATTCCAATGAAAATCATCTCAACAGTTGTTAATTTATTCGGATAAAACTTTCAGAATTTGCGTTTTTTTTCCTAAGGAATGAAGAAAAGGCAAGTTGGTTCGACCCGTAATGGGTCACACCCACTCTAACCCACCCGCAATGGGAGCAAGTGACCAACAACCATTCGAATTTTTTGCGGAAATTTTTTTTCAGCATACGAACGGTCTCTGGGCTTTCCTTCACAAATCCTCCTTTTCCGTGATAATTCCATTATTACATAAACAGGGCTGATTGTTAGAGGTGGTTTGAAGAGGAATTCACTGTTCACGTGTAATAATAACTTTCGATCAATTCTTTTCTTTATTGACCGGAAAGAATGATCTAAAACTCCGAGAGTTTCGTCTATTATGTAACAGAATAGTCGCTAAAAGGATTTCGTTCAATATCTGATGAAGGCAAGATTGCTTTCATTGTAAAAACAAAAATACTAATCCGGTCATTGCCCTAGGACTAAACGTTAAATTTTCAAAATGGCCATCTTATATCGTTTTAGTATGGAGATAAATGATTGGAGACAGCGAATCAGTTATCTATGATATTTTAAATATATTTTCGATCGAAAATATGAACAGTTCGATGTCCAAGAGATTTTGCTGTAGTGCATAAGAGTACAATTACATAATTTTTTTCGATTTTTTTATCAGTTCGTTTTTACAAGCTTTGATTTGCCATAAAGTTGCACATGTCTGTTGAATATTTTGATATTGGAAACGAGAGCCATGCATCGTCGTAGGCTGTTGTAAGAAGCAATAGTAGATATTTCTATTTTTGATCCAATAATGTTGTAGTCTTTGGTGATACAATTGAGTCAATTATGAGTAGATGAATGGAGGATTCCAATATACATAGAGACAATAAAAAATCCTCTGAAGGAAATTGTAACAATTATTTTCAACATGGAAAATCTCTTAAATTAAAAATTTCTCCTACTGTTTAGGGACTGGGTTCTTTTTTCACACTCTTTCCAAGACAATGGTCGTCAATAAATAATGTTTATTCTTACAGAAAAGCTATACATAGTATATACATGGTGAAGCTATAAAAAAGATTCAACTAAAAAAGAAAAAAAAATTACTGATTACGATTGCTCGTTTTTAAAGTCATGTACCGTCAGTCCCATACAGTTCTTTCATTCCTAAAAAAATCTGTATCAATTGTAAAAGCATCTCAATCCTAATTGGATCTTAATTCTTGAATGAAAAAATTGTAATTATGAATTAAGGCAAAAGCAAAAAGAGACTCTAAAATTTCTCTCTCAGTTCTTTTGAAAAAATATGGTTTCAGAGACTCTTCTGGTAATATGACATCACGCGTGATATTATTCACGCTGGGAATGATACTTTAGATGCACTTTTTTTTCTCAAAAACGATTAATGCAACGAAGCATGTAATTTTTTATTGAATATCCTATGATTCGGAAAATGATTGCAGGAGTAAATTGAAATTGAAATGAAATTTCAAGAGTCAATATTTCACATTTTTCTAATAATAGAATTAAGTCGATACTGAAGGGTTTTAGAGAAAAATGTCAGAGTACGTTTTTGGGTGGAAATATATCTAGCAACAAAAATGTCTCTCTACAGTCCTTCCGAAAATCCCTCGTTGTCGAGGTGAATGCTCAGTTAACTAGAATGTGGAATTCAACCTGTTATTTCTTACCACCTTACTAAAGATTTTATTTTGCATTGTTATTATTTTTCCTTATGGAGGCTGTTTTTCTTTGAATTTTAATTACTAACTAGCTGAAAAGATTCGAAAGAACACACTCAATATCGAGCATTGTATCTTTTACTTCTTTAAATTATTTTCCAAATCCTTACAAGCATACTTATCACAGTGTAAGTATAACTTCAGTCATACCGATTGAATGCCATTGATCAATTCAATACCAATGATCGATTAAAATCCAAACAGTTCTACGAGTTTACTTTCTTTTGTATTTTTCAGGAAATTTAATTTATTTCAGTGACTTGAAAACGTCTGCACTGAGTTTAACTATTTTCTTTACTTCCAATTACAGTTTTTAATGTTCTCATAATTTAAAATGTTTTTAAACTCAATACAAACGTGTACACTGAGACACATGCCCTAATCTCAAATATAATACTCGCATAGGCCACACGATTTTCCGATCCACAACTAAAATGTTACAGTAATGGAAACGATTTTTTGAGCATAAATTGCACGTGAAGGTTCACTTCATTTGAATTGTCAAATCGTTAGAAGAGCGAGTTTTAGGATCAACGAGGCAAGTTCGTAATCAGAGCAAAAAGGCTCTGTTCCTTTGGTTGGCACTTGATCCGCCACTTTTCTGATCATATTCACTTCCATTCATTCAATATCTTACAGCTGATAATAATTTAATTGAAAAATTAATAATTCCTAGCAGAGGTTTTCATCACGTCATGTTGACGCCTAGAGCTTGTCTGAAGTGTTCATAGACCACGTAGCTTATTGATACTGCTGGGGCAACCTATGAAAAAGCAAAAAGGAAAGGTTTGAATAATTCAGTAAAGGAAACATTATGAGGGACACAGTTTGGTAGTAGAATGATGATGGAAATCGATTCAAGAATCATACACATTAAAAAATATCTGAAATAAATAGGCATGGAAAACATGAATTATTGAAAAAATCATTCAATATCTTCTTTTGAACTTAGTAGTTTCTAATTTTATCTTCTCCTACTTCATTTCGCTGTGAAAAATTATAAAATAAATTGAAAACCATTTGCCCAATAATGTAAACATGAATAATGAAAAACAATTTAGTAGCCGGTAAAGAATAAGATATTAACCGACAATAGATTTGCGAATTATTACCCAGACATAGCTATTTGAAAAGAAGAGATTTACAGAAATTTATTGAAAAATTCTTTCCTTCAGAATATTTGAATCGTGCGATCTTTCTTCGTCATATCGATGTATTTTCAGTTTAGTAGGGCATTATTGAAAAAAAGTGGAAAAACAATTTTTCCAAAAATTTGAACCTAATTTGCATAAAACTACTAGATTCACAAAGATTTTTGCAGAATAGTTTGTATGATATTTTTTGGCTTCTCACTTAATCGCAACAGCTTTGATTGTTTTTCCATGATTAGCGATAATTACCTTCAGGAAATTAGGTGTTAGACCTCGATACAATCCACGAAAACCTTCTGTCTGTAAAATATCTTGGAAGACCCCGATCATAGTTCTTGAATTTGTACTAGATACTTCAGCCTGCAATCTCGTTCTGACTAGAGCGAGTGGGTAAGAACACACTTGTCCTGCTGTACTCGAGGCAGTGCCACACAGAAGCAGAACCCAAAACGCTGGTTGTTCATTCTTACTGTGTGATCGTAAATACCTGTTTTTTAATGTCTGAAACAAGAACAGTAAATAAATTCAATAAAATAATAATTAATAACAGCCAACTCATGAGGTAAATTCAGGGAAAAACGTGGTGATTAATGATGATTACCGTTATCTTGGGATTTTACCTCATACACAGCTAAATCAATGCCAGCGTAGGGGAGGATGCCAATGAGATTAGGTATATATCCTCGGTAGAAACTTTTTAAGCCACCCTGAGCATATATCTTTTGGGCTGCGTCTATGATACTGTTGAATTCACCTGTTTTTCTTAACGCAAGTCTTGTTTTCAAGACCTGAAAGAAGGACAGAGTTTTGAAATAATTGTCAGAGGCAAATCAATTATATATTTCAACAATAACTATGTACTCAGTTCCAAAAAATATCTTTTCATATTTCATTTTAAAGTTATCCACTATTATGATCAAGTAATTTATTGAAAAACAATGTTCTATTAATGGCTCTTCACCGCCTCGGTTGAAAAATTTTCTGCATTCAAGAATCAATTCGGATTTAAGGCCCGGGTGGATTGTCTTTCATATCAAATAATCGAGATAACGTTCGAAAGATAATCCACCCGGGCCTTAATTCTAAAAAAAAAGTGAATTAGATATATCGTTACCTCTAATGGATAAATAGCAGATTGACTAATACCCCCAGCAGCAGATCCAGCAATAAACCTCTCATCAATGCCCAATTCCCTCGAATCATTTCCCTTGATAAATCTCTTAATCTGCTCATACGCTGCAAACTTGAGAGCTGTTTCGGGTCCAATTTTAAGTACGTTAATTCCATTTCCTCGCCATAAACTATGTATACCACCCTCCTTTAACATGTACTTGAAGCAACTCGTAATATTGCAGTGCCTTGTTCCGTGCACCTGAGGAACAAAATCGAGAAATTCTTTAAAAATTGCTTCCATAAATTTGATATCAATTTAGCGAGTCGGAGTGAACAATTTACCTGGAGATACACTTTTATTCGGTCTAAGGGGGCTGTGCAGGTACGTGAAACAGCGCCGGCAATTCCACCAGCTAGTAAGTGTCTCCACCACATTCCTGAGATCATTTCACTGTTTGTGAAGTCATCGGGAACGCCCATATCCTCCCCAATGTCCATGTACTGTAAACAAACATATTAATTCGTGATAAATTAATCGATACAAACAAAGAGGCATAAAAACTTTGAGAAGACAGCAGTAAATAAAAAAAGCGTAGCGATAGTTGCTTCGAAACTTTCCACCTTCACATGCATGTTGTAGTTAAAGCTGTTTATCCTTGCCCACAAAAATTTAACTTTTTCATGGTCGAGGGAAATTCTACAATTTTTTATACTTGTGGGGGAGCATATGAAACCATCATTTCTGGTGACTAGAAAAATTCGTTTCAATAACTTTGATCAAATGAAATAATCAAATTCTATTCTTGTAATGTTCTTTTATGTAAGTGTAATGACCTTAGATGCCCACCCATAATTTATCTTTTTCCTGCACACTTTCAATGAGTTCTAATGACTCGACCATGTTATGTAAATCAAGAGGAAGCAGCTACGGTTAAGAAGCCATTTTTCAAGGTACATATGCAAGTTCTTGGTCAATACAACTTGCAACTCAAAGTGTTTCCGTGTCATTACATATATACTTTGAGAATAAAATAAGCAATGTTCTATGATTGGTTCCGCCGAATTTTACAGATCTACTTTTAACCGGACTCCTAAATACGACAGAACACTTTGGTTCCGTTTCCCAAATAATCTTGCACAATCTCGTTACCACGTGTGAATAGTGTTCGTGGCTTTCGTCTTAGATAACTTTGATACGCACTTGACAAAGTTCAGTTGATTGATCTTATCTCGAAGAGCTCTATTTCCTTCTTTACCATATATTTGTTCTCGAACACCCTCTTTTCCAAATAAACAGAGAACTTGGAATGAAAATGATACGAAATTGAGCCAGAAAGTTGGTTTGATTTGATTATAAAAATTGAAATTTTTTATTACTCAAATTAATGGGAAATGGAATTCCGCTATTCGCCCTCCTGAACCAATGATTATCGATCCCCCTTGGGAATTGCGTCGGTCAATGAACAAATGTGAGATCGGTGAGACTTTCGATCATGAATTGCAAAATCAACAGAACTAATTTAAGTCAAAGAATTGCGGAATTATTGAGATATTAATTTAGAATTCAGATTTTTTTCAATGAGAAGGAATTGAATGCTTATCATATTCGGAGACTACTGCTTAAGCATTAAAGAGATGGAAAAATTGCAAGAAAACGATTTCACAATCGGACAGATCGAAAAAGGAAGGCTACAAGGTGAATTGCAGTGAAACTGTTCTCCGATCGGTGAATCATGCGCCAAGGACATGATTTACTAATCTATAGAACCTTTTACTACAGTCCCCAGCCGCTTTGAGTGTTTGACACTTGAAGGTAATAACTAAGTGTAACGGAATAAGTTGAATAGTCGCATGCACATTATTTCTAGAAAATCTACAAAAATTGAGAATCTATTAAGAGACCTCCTTCGGACCCCTCCCCTCTCCCTGGAATTTTTATAACAAAAACTAACTTCACCATCTCGAACATATTTGCAAAGAATGCGCCATCAACTTTTTGCACTCCAATTCAACCGAGGGAATGAAAACTAGGAATCGATTTGCTGATGAAATGAATAAATTACTGCGTTTTTCTGGTATTTCTGCAGTCTTGGTAATTATTGATAATTCTAGAATGACATTGATTTAAAAATGCTCAGCTATTCCTGTCTGGGTATGATTTAGTTTTCAGTTTGAAAAGATTTACCAGCATTCTCTTTTCATGCCTTTTATGTATCGTCCCCTCAACTATTTGTCTTCTTTAACTAATTCACATATTTTTTTTCCCCATAACTTGATACTTAACTTCACCCATATCTCCAGCATCAAATCACTATCAATATTGTCAAGCGTATCCATAACGAGCAAAAAACCCCTGACTGGATTGTTAATTGTGACAATTAAAACTAAATGATACACATCAAGATAGAAAACGAGGATGATCCCTCTAACGCATTCGCTGGGCACCTGCAGCGACAGTCGGGCACGTCGCCAGGGTAAAACCGCTCAATTTTTGACTCACTGCCCAATGTCAGTATCAAAAATATTTAATTCGCTCCCACCGCATCCACTACCAACTTGGCTTTCACGTTTCCATTCTTAAATCGGGCCTACGTTTGGTTAAATTACCATGAGGATCTGGGATACTTTCTATCTTCCAAGAGCCTCGAAACATTTTTTATTTATTTTTTGACATTCAAGATGCGATGACAAGATGACTGCGTCATCAATAAAGATTCCTGCTCATTACTAAACCAAAGCATTCGATTTTTATACGATTTTTGAATAATTTAGCATACGAAAGATTTTCTCAAATGTTCAAGAATTTTGCTGTAAATCCACGTTTTTTCGGAATTAGAATTGCAAAATTGTGTGTTTTATATAATAGAGTTGCAGGTAGTAACGTTTTAAATGCCAAGAATTTTTGGCACAGAAACTGCGGAACTATTGAGAAAAAATCAGCAAGGCTGTAATCTTCCTCTACGGAACTCGAACGTAATCAAACGCTTAGAGTGATAATCGAACAGTACAAGTGTGCGGTGCCAGATAACAAAGTCTGGAGTCTCACTGCATTGGTATTGGTAAGTGTATGTGTACTGTAATGAATGTCACTGGTTTTTATTTCTGAAATATGACTAAAGGATATTGCTGATTGATTGATTTCCTACCATTCAGTGCCATTCACCAATTTCAAAATTTTAATCAAGAATAACGTAAATGGAATGACCTTGTTTATAGCACTAGGTGAAATCTTCATCAACTGGTCACAAATAATTTATGGGTATTTCCGCAGGAACTCGTTGTCAAATTATCTAATGACGATGTTTGTTGACTACTGAATTACTTCCGTAATCATCGGCTCTAGGTGAAAATGACAAGAGAAATTTTTTGCAAATTTTCAACCGGGAAAAGGCCTTTTGCCACTGTAGATCGTGACCACTAGTTGATAAGGAATGCGCATAATTAATCATAGTCTGGCTCAAACAATTATACAAATCCTCCGAAGTTGCTGCAATGACGTGTATTTCGATTTATCTCACAAGTCCACACATTACTGAGAGCTCGGCGGGAAGTTCAAGCCTCACCGTGACTCATCGTCTATGTAGCATCATGCAGACACCTCTGACGCTATTTTGGGTCACCAAAGAAAGCCATTCATTTTTCAACCAAATCCAGAAAACTACTCGACTTTTAAACCAAATGACAAATAGTTTGCTGGTAAACACCAATAAGTGAAGGATCCTTAAGGTAATGGTTTTAGCGAACTCTCTCAACATTTCTATTCCCGGGGAATGTGAACGGTAGGTCAGTGAATCTCACCTCACTAGTATTAGTATTATAAATATTTGAAAAGTGACTGATATGAGCTCTCATTTATCTTCTGCTCTTTATCACTTCATTGGACAAATATTTCTCCAATATTCGTTGTTTTATTACGAAAAATCTATTTTAAAGTCGATATGAGTCGACCGCACTTTCACTGTTAAATGTCGACATACCCTTTGAAGTAGTTCATGGTATCTTTGAAGAAATTCTCCACAAACTTGACACCCATTCCCAACATTCCTCTGTTCCAAGAGCCTGCTTGAATTTAACACTACTGCACCACTCATTTTTCTTTATCGGATTCAATTGATCGATACTAGTGTCAATTGGATAAAAGTAAAAGGAAAACGAGAGACCCGAAGGTCTAATCTACAGGTGGAGAAGTTCACTGAATATAACGACCTTCGTGTGGGCCTACGAGGCGCGTGGTCGGAGTCCGATACCGAGACTGAGAAACAACGAGAATTCCAAGTGGTCGGTTAACGCCAGTTGGAAATTGAAATTGTGACTGGGGAAGTCCCCACCAAGTTGCTAGAGATATGGCTGTACGCGACACCGACGTCACCGTCACAAGACCCCACGTATTGGTGAGGTGAAAAAAAGTTTTATCGCTTGAATACCAGTCGGGGGGATTCCACTGGTATTTTTGTTGTTTTATTCTACTCCACTGTCAAAATATGGAAAGAAGATTGAGACGGTACGGGGCTGAGGGTACCAAAGGACAGAGCGGTGGTAATTTTTCAACTCAATTGAGAGATTTGATGTTTCCCTACACTCGAAAATTTCTAAGAATTGGTTCGAAGACGGCCTACTTTACTATTTTTCTATTGGCGTTAAAATGGAAGAATTTTATTCGATTCAGATTCAAAAGTGAATCACAGACTCTACTAATTATTTTGTAGATATCTTCAGGAACAGGTGATTTAGAGAAATCCATACTATCCAGAGACCTCTCTGTAGAGAATTTCACGAATTGAAAGAGAAACCTGCACGGAGAGAAAAATTCAATAAAAATTTCCAGAAAAAAACGTAAAAATTGCGTTTGGAAACGTAATCCGCGAGCGAAGTCAAATTCAATAGAAAGTGTGAGTCGCAACTGAAATTGTACGAATCGCTAGGTAAATTCCACGATTTGTTTCGTAAAAATTAACCACCCATCTGATGACTCACCGTTGTGCGGACAAGTGGTTCCGTAGTTTTTTCCCAATGATTGAGAAATTTTACGGAACGGAATGTAGAAGTAACTCACCAGCTTCATAAAAAATGTTGAACGTTCAAGAATTTTTGATTTTGGAAGCATAATAACTCGGGAAGTTTCTGTGAAATTTGAATCCCGGAAAAAATAGACCATGGAAAAAAGAGACCAAGGGAAATTTTTAAGTTGGGTGGGTTTTAACACGTTTCGGGTGTGTGGGCTCTTTTTTCCTGGTCTATTTTTTCCGCCTACCGTGAAATTTTACTCCTTTGAGAAAAATTACGTGACAATTTCGTACTTTGTTCGGTGATGCGGATGAACCTGAAAATTCACTGAACGTTTCAAATTTCTTCTCTGCTATTCCTATAAAAATTACCGGGAAACGATTCCCCATTGCGGATTACGTGAATTGTTCCGTAATGCTTACTGATTATTTTTCCAACCCAAATAGCGGGCAATATAATTGGCCCATTCGACATCACGTGGTACAAGCTACAGGGTT